CTAATGCTACAGAACTAGTTTCTCACACAGCCTGCTGTAGTTGTATGATCCGACTTATCTTGAGAGAACCAGCCTGTCCTGTCAACCTTCCGTTCTCTCTCAAGATGCTGTGTGCCACAGGAGGACAAGGACAACTATTGGCACACAGCATCTTGAGAGAGAACGGAAGGTTGAGAGGACAGGCTGGTTCTGCTTTAGGGGAGGTCGGGGCGATAATGGAGGGCAGTGGGGAAGGGGTAAGGGGGGGAAGGGGGGGAAGGGGGGGAAGAGGAAGAGTAGGGAGAGGAGGAAGAGGAGGAAGAGGAAGAGGAGGGAGGAAGAGGAGGGAGAGGAGGGAGAGGGGAGAATGGATCAGTAGAGGGGGAATAGGAGGGAAAGGGGAGAATGAGAGGGAGGAAGGTGGGAAGGATAATTGAAATAATGGGGGGGAGGGAGAGGACTGGGAGAAAAGGAAATGCAGCAATCTACCACTCCTCCCAAACCATCTCCTCTCCATAGTTGCAATGCGTCAAAAGTCCTTTTCAGACCAGATCATTGGATATCAAACGGCACTCAGGGGCTTGTTAGACACCCCTCGGGGACGCGGTTCCAAGTATTTTGTCTTCTTTCCACCTGCCGTCGGAGATGAAATTGGAAATGAAAATGTGAAAACACTCCCGAGGACAAATCCTTGGCGTCCAAGGTCCCAAGGATTTCCCAGCCAAATCATCCTTGGTTCCAAGGGACCTCACGAGGTCCCTTTGAGCCAAGGATCCACGTTTCTCGGATAGGAGCGGGCACACACGTAGAGAGACGTTACTACGGTTGAATCCGGATCGTGGCCGAATCCGGATCGTGGCCGCACCCGATTGGCTGAAAGCCTCAAGCACAACTGTTACATTATAGAACATTTGGAAACAGCGCAATGCTGGGGCCGTGCACTTGTGGTTCAAAACAAACGGTCCTTTCCAGTTCTCCGGCTTCAAGCGCACGTGACCACAACTTTGACATTCCCCAAAACGGAAAGGCCGTCACGAGGCCTGTTTTCCCAAGAGGCGCCGGTACCGCAGTGGCCAAACTCGGCCATTCGATCATGCAATGCCGGCGTTAGGTCTGCATCTACAACAATAAAAAAAAAAAAAACTACAACAAAAATTCGTGGGGCATTGGAGCCTCGTGTTCCTCGTTACGAACTTCACGCACAACACTCGACGACTGGAACCTTTTTTTTTTTTTTTTTAAGAGAGACGTATGGAGGTAGCGTTGATAATCATGAGAAAAGTCCTCCAAAATAAATCTGGCCTGCACTTTTGGGCTGCACCGTCAGTTGGCAGTCACGCAGCACTGTTTGGCTGGGGAGTTCACCACTTATATATCATCAACCAGAACTGCACGGTAAACTGCCTACATGCAGAGAGGGAGGGGGAAGGAGAAGAGGACAACAAACGAACGAGAGGCTGTGACAAACTGTTTCGTCGCCGGAGTTTCACCTACTCGTCAGGCAGCTAACACCCTCTGCAGTCTGCAGAGTCCCCTAACCGACATAACGAAAGTGATAACCCACCTTAACCCCAGTTACAGTTAACCATCGACTGACCGACAACCGATACTCGGAGATGCGCACCAACCACTGCCCTCAGCGTACCTGCGACGAAATTCGAAGCAGGGCAGGGACAACATCCAGCCCGAAAATCAAGCTGGCCAAGATAGCCTCAACTTCAGTAGCAGATTGCGCACGGATGTCTGCCACAAACGATTGCATAAGAGATCTGATGAGACTCGAACAGAAGGGTCTGGCCCATAAATCAGTGTCGTACCACTGACGTGGCATATATGGCCTTCACCAAACACATTGCCCCGGGTTTTCGGCCACACCTTTTGGCTAGACAGCTTCAAACATTTCCCAACTTCATGGGCGGAAAATGCTAGAATAAACCATACCATACCTTTCTCAGCCTTTTAGCTAAGACTAAGATCAAGTTTAGTATCGCCTCTGATCAGTTTAGTATCGCTTCTGATCAGTTTAGTATCCCGACGCTGGGCAAGGTTCCCAGCACCTCTTGCTCCCCACGAATAGATTGGAGACCCCCCGGCTTACCGCAACCCCCCACAAAAAAAAAAAAAAAAAAAAAAAAGTTTAGTCAGTTTAGTAGCTGATCCATGGTCCATTGGACACCTCCGTATTAATAGTAATTTAATTTAATACTGCTATTTGTCTATTTAGGTGCACTACATTTTCTATTCTTTTCTGCAGATGTAGCTTCTCTTTTTGTTTGTATAGGTCTCATAAACATACCAATAAATAATAATGGAATTCTCTGTAAATTGGTGGAACACTTTGCATCCACATGATATTAAATTCCTTTTTTTTGCGCCACGGAGAGGTCATATACAGGTAAGCTTGCTTACTCAACCCCTCCTGTATTCTTGCCTCGGTATTGCGCACTGCAGCAGGGTGCAGCCCAGCCCTCAAAAGAATTCAAGAAAATTTTCTGAAAAAAAAATTAGAATAAAGCTACTCAGCTATGCATCTCTTGGCACGTGACTGCGTACTTAAATATGTAGAAGTATTTACATCGTTCATTTCACTCTCCACTTCCAAATGCGCCATATTCTAAACTTCAGCTCCCGGACATAATTTACACAACACAAAACAGCGTCAATCGAATGCTTAACATGATGAAATCAAAGGCTTAACAAAACAACAGAATAATACATGGACATAAATTCATTCACATAATCATAAAGACGAAAGGTGGTAGCAAAGCGAAGTCGACATGTGCAACGATTCCTCCACGCGCCCCAGTAACATCGTCACCCAATCCTAACCCCATATAGGTTGCGACTCATCCGCAAGTTTCCCTTCTCACCATCTCTCTCTCTCTCTCTCTCTCTCTCTCTCTCTCTCTCTCTCTCTCTCTCTCTCTCTCTCTCTC